GCAAGTTCAGTATGATACTGGCTGTAGGTTTGTCATATATAGTTTTAATCATTTTATGATACGTTCCATCAATACATAGTTTATTGCGAGTTTTTAGAACAAAGCATTGTTGAATTTTATCGAAGGCCTTCTCTGCATCTATTGAGATAATCATGTGGTTTTTGTCTTTGGTTCCTATATAATACTGGCAAACAGATTGCAACAGCATATCAAGAAGCTTGTCCATCACGGCGAAGTAGGCTTCATCCCAGTGATGCAAATCTGGTTCAACATACACAAATCCATAAATGTAATCCATCACATAAACGGAACGAAACTGCTGATATTTTATTTATTTATTTATTTATTTTTTAAAGACGGGGTTTCACCATGTTGGTCAGGCTGATCTTGAACTCCTGACCTCAGGTGATCCCCCCGCCTTGGCCTCCAAAGTGCTTGGATTGCAGGCATGAGCCACCACGCCTGGCCTAATACTTTAAAAGTAACAAGTACCAAACCAGAAAGAACTAGACTTAGGAACCAAACTCTGGTTGCTCTAGTGAGCAGGGCAGAATCTTAGGATTGGAAGGCCACCACTTCTCCTTCAGTTTGTCATTGCCTGGCAAAAGATGGCCTTGGCTGGCAAAAGATGGCCTTGTTATGTGGACAGAGCCTCTTAGTTTAAAAAAAAAAAAAAAAAGGAATTTCTGGTCACTAGAAAATATATACTTGGCAGCTACAAGGGTTTTTGTCAATTCAGATGACTTGCTTCCCAAAATTTGGAAGAAACCCTTGGATTTGACCAAGTCAGAAAAATATGGTCATACTTGATGGAAGAAAAGTGAAATAACAAAATCCCAAACATAAATAAATAAATAAGTTAAGCAAAATAAACAAATGCACAATAAATATGATTACTGAGTGTTATAATGCTAAGAAGAAATTAAAACCAACTGGTTGGTAATCTTAACTTTTAGTCATTAAGGAAAAATTTTAGGACAAATCTTTAATTTAGCCACTTACCTGGAAATAAGGCTCAGGCTGATGACTGTTCTCTACCATCTTAGAGGCAGGAAAAAAATTCACACTCACCTTTCCTGTCAGAAGTAAGCTGAAACTCAAGAAAGGAAGTGCCTCTCCATCATCATGGAAGCAGAAAAACTTGTCTTCCTTACCGGAAATGAGTAAAACTTCACAAAAGGAGCTGTAAAGCAAAATCAACCTTAGCTCGCAACCAAATTTTGGGAGATCAGGGACTCTCTGGAGGGCAGAAGCTCCCAAACCTTAGAAAATCATCTATCCTATTGGTTTGAACAATAAGGATAGCCCAGGTTGGTATCAAGCAACAATGATATTTATCAAACGTCAGGGCCACAATTTAAAGTCTCTCTTTTTTTTTTTTTTTTGAGGCAGAGCCTTGCTCTGTTGCCAGGTGTCAGGCTGGAGTGAAGTGGCACGATCCCAGCTCACTGCAACCTCCGCCTCCTAGGCCCAAGCAATTCTCCTGCCTCAGCCTACTGGTTAGCTGGTGCTGCAGGTGGTTACCACCATGCCCAGCTAATTTTTATTTTTTTTTTTGTATTTTTAATAGAGATGGGGTTTCACCATATTGGCCAGGAAGGCCTCGATCTCTTGACCTCGTGATGCACCCACCTCGGCCTCCCAAAGTGCTTGGATTACAGGCTTGAGCCACTGCACTGGGCCCATATCCTTCTCTTTTTATCTTTATTGCTATAGCCTGTTTTGTCAGAAACTAGGATTGCAATACCTGCTTTTTTCTGCTTCCCATTTGCTTGAAAGACTTTTCTCCATTCCTTTATTTTGAGCCTATGTGTGGGACTGCATGTGAGATGGGTCTCTTAAAGACAGCATACTCAAATGAGTCTTGGTTCTTTATAAGAACAGCTTGCCCCCGTATGTTTTTCAATTGGAGCATTTAGCCCATTTACATTTAACGTTAGCAATGATATGTATGGATTTGATCCTGTCATCATGCTATTAATTGATAATTTTGCAGACTTGTGTATATGGTTGGTTTTTTAGCATCACTCGTCTGTGCAATTCAGTGCATTTTTGTAGTGGCTGGTGATCATCTTTTCTTTCCATATTAAGTGCTACTTTCAGGAGCTCTTGTAAGGTAGATCTGCTGGTAATGAATTCCCTCAGCATTTGCTTGCCTGAAAACGATCTTATTTCTCCTTCACTTATGACACTTTGTTTTGCTGGACTTGAAGTTCTGGGTTGAAATTTTTTTCTTTAAGAAGTTGAATATCTCTTCTGGCTTGTAGGGTTTCAGCTGAGCAGTCCAGTGTTAGTCTGATGGGATTCCCCTTGTAGGTGGCCCTCTCTTTCTCCCTAGTTGCCGCTAACAATTTTTCTTTCATTTTGATCTTGGAGAACCTGATAATTATGTGTCTTAGGGATGTTCTTCTCATGGCATATTTGAGGTTCTCTGGATTTTCTGAATTTCAATGTTGGTCTAAGTTGGGGAAATTCTCATGAATGATATTCTGAAATATGTTTTCCAAGTTGATTCCATTTTCGTCATCTCTTTCAGGTACATTAATAAGGCACACATTTCATCTTTTTACATAATCCTTTATTTCTCAAAGCATTTGTTCATTCCTTTTCATTCTTTTCCTCCATTCTTGCCTCTTTTCTTTCAGAAAGCCGGTTTTCAAGCTCTGAGACTCTTTCCTCTGTTTGGTTTATTCTACTAGGTGTTCTTGCATATGAGATGGTGCTGGTCTGACCTCAGCACTCCTTAGTCTGCTTGCTTCTCCCAGGACCCGAGCCTGGCCACACCTGCTTACAGGGCACCCTCGGGTGCCCACAAACACTGCAAGAATTTTCATAATGCAATCACACACAATTACTATGTGGCTGCATTATGAAAATTCTTTTAGTGTGCTTTTCAGCTCTATCACGGCAGTTTTTTTTTTTTTTTAATTGTAGTTTAGGTTCTAGGGTACATGTGCAGATCATGCAGGATTTTTGCATAGGTACATACATGGCAATGTAGTTTGCTGTCTCCATTCCATCACCTGAAACTGGCATTTCTCCCCATGTTATCACTCCCTGACCTCCACAACCCCCGTTGCTCCTCTGTTGGCCACCCCCAAACTGACCCCAGTGTCTGATGCTTCCCTCCCTGTGTCCATGTGTTCTCATTATTCAACACCCAACTATGAGTGAGAACATGCAGTGTTTGATTTTCTGTTCTTCTGTCAGTTTGCTGAGAATGATGGTTTCCAGATTCATCCATGTCCCTACAAAGGACACAAACTCATCATTTTTTATGGCTGCATAGTATTCCATGGTGTATATGTGTCACATTTTCCTTTCCAGTCTATCGTTTATGGGCATTTGGGCTGGTTCCAGGTCTTGGCTATTGTAAACAGTGCCACTCTGAACATACGTGTACATGTGTCTTTATAATAGAATAATTTATAATCCTTTGGGTGTATACCCAGTAATGGAATTGCTGGGCCAAATGGAATTTCTATTTCTAGGTCCTTGAGCAAGTGCCACCCTGTCTTCCACTATGGTTCAACTTGTTTACACTCCTAGCAACAGTGTAAAAGTGTTCCTATTTATCCACATGCTGTCGGGTATCTGTTGTCACCAGATTTTTTAATGGTCACCATTCTAACTGGAATGAGATGATACCTCAATATGGTTTTGATTTCTCTAATAATCAGTGATGATAAGCATGTTTTCATATGTTTATTGGTGTCATATATATCTTATTTTCAAAAGTGTCTGTTCATATCCTTTGCCCACTTTTCGATGAGTTTGCTTGTTTGTTTTTTGTTTGTTTGTTTTTGTAAATCTGTTTTAGTTCTTTGTAGATTCTGGATATCAGCCCTTTGTCTGATGGGTAGATGGCAAAAATTTTTTCCCATTCTGTTGGTTGCCAGTTCACTCTAATGATTGTTTCTTTTGCTGTACAGAAGCTCTGGAGTTTTATTAGGTCCCATTTGTCTATTTTGGCTTTTGTTGCCAGTGCTTTTGGGGTTTTAGTCATGAAGTTCCTGCCCATGCCTATGTCCTGAATGGCTTTGTCTAGGTTTTCTTCTCGGTTTTTTATGGCATTAGGTCTTATGTTTAGTTCTTTAATCCACCTGGAGTTAATTCTAATGTAAGGTGTCAGGAAGAGGTCCAGTTTCTGCTTTCTGCACACTGCTAGCGAGTTTTACCAACACCATTTATTAAACAGGGAATCCTTTCCTCATTGCTTGTTTTTGTCAGGTTTGTCAAAGATCACATGGTTGTAGATATGTGGCATTGCCACCAGGAACTCTGTTCTGTTCCATTGGTCAATGTCTATGTTTTGGTACCAGTATTATGCTATATTGATTACTGTAGCTTTGTAGTGTAGTTTGAAATCAGGTAGCCTGGTGCCTCCCACTTTGTTCTTTTTGATTAGGATTGTCTTAGCTGTGGGGGCTCTCTTTGGTTCCATATGAAGTTTAAGGTGGTTTTTCCCAGTTCTGTGAGGAAAGTCATTGGTAGTTTATGGGGACAGCACTGAACCTATAAATTACTTGGGGCAGTATGGCCATTTTCACGATATTGATTCTTTCTAAAAATACTGATTGCTTCATGAATATGCATGTCATCCTTGGGGAGGGGCCATGCTAATCTTCTAGGAATCATTTCAATTTTAATATATGTGCTGCCAAGGCAAGCACTGGTAACGTTCTTTATACTGGTTATATTACCTGTTAGCTCCTGCGATGTTTTACAATGATTTTTGGCTTCCTTGCATTGGATCATGACATA